TGTAGGCCCCACAGAGACACATCTTTCTATTCCTTAAGAGGAGACAGAAACCCAAACTTCACTGTGAAATTTCTCAGTATACCCTGAGATCTGGGCCAAACTAGACAGGCCTGCTGGCAGGACGCAGCCCCTGGCTGCCGGTCTGTGACCTCTGATGAAGCAACTTGCTGAGGTCCCACTGCTAATAGAGTAGTGCTGGGTGGAATTCTGACCCACAATCCAAAAGCTGTCTTAAACCTCTTGGTAATAGAGAGTGTCTCCTTACAGAGGTGGTAGGCTCCAAAGAGGTAGGTCAAACTCAGCAGTTCAACCATGATCTGATCACAGAGCCCTAGGGACCCCTCCCCACCCACCTTCCTGGGCAGGCAGGGACGGGTCATTCAGGAGCCCTAATCCAGAGTTCCCCCTTGGGCTTCGGGTTTCTCAGGGCATGTGGCCTGAGCACCTACATTTGCTGGCTTTGGGAACTCAAAGATCAGGAAAACCAGAGCTTGGTTGTGAGCCCATCTTTGGTTACTGTGAGGGGAATCGGCTCTCCCAGCCTGCAGTGAGGGGCCCTGCCACCACAAGGTAGGGCACAGTCCACATTTATGAGAGTGCCTGCTGGCATTTCTCCCCCTCACTGGACTCTCTTGGAAAACTGAGCCTTGGGTCTTAACCAATCTTGTCATCAGGACTGATCAGTGACTATATCTCCTGAAACCAAGGGCCCGCCAAACCTGAAACAGTCATTCTACAATTTTAGCCAAAGTACCTTATCCCTGAGAAAGCTGTGTGGGCATGTTGGAGCAAGGCTGTCGGGTAAAGCTCTCCAGGACTGTGCCAACAGGCCCACACATTTAGCCATCAGATACTGGTCACTTAACACAGCATGCTTGTGTGATTCCGGGGGTCTTTCAGTTGAGCTAAGCACCCATCTCTGCGTTTTTAGTGTCTGAGAGTCTCATCAACAAGATTAAACACCCTCGTCTTATTAGGAATTTTAATCCCGCACTTGAACACTGTATGCAGTACTGGCTCTGTTACCTGAGCAGATAGATTCCAGGGTTCCAGAAAACTGGAAATGGTGGTGAAAACTTCCATGGGGATGTTCAAGTAGGAAATTTCTTTTATTAAGTATATGTCCTCTTTCTGGCAGGGAAAATCATTCATTGTAGGGGGGAAGTATTTTTAGACCGATGAACCTGGATTTTTTTTAACCTGGTTCTAGCTGTGAAACCTTGCAAAGATTATTTAACCTCCAAAAGCCTCTATCTCCTCATCTGTGAAATGGGGTAACACTACCCAGCTTGTAGGGCAGCTGTACAAAATAAATGAGATGAGGGTGTACAATGGCCAAATCCTCCTCCTCCAAACAGGCATACAGTGCTTTACACGTAATCAGTTTTTAAAATGGTCAATGTTATGGACTGAATTGTCCACCTCCCTCCCCCAATTCATACAGCCTGGTGTCAGTATTCCAACATAGGGCCCAGAGGTAAGAAATTAAGCTTAAATAGGTCATAAGTATATTCCAATCATAAATCATAAATAGAATCCAATCTACTTATAAAGATCATTGTCCATATAAGCAGAGATGGCAGAAAGCTCTCTGGGGAAGCACAAATAAGGACCTGTCCGTCCCTGAGCAATTTGTGAAACATACACTCTGAGGAACATATCAAACAGGGCACTACTCATTCCAAATATGGCTGAGGAAGGCCAGAAACTGAATGTAGAGTCTTCTAGGCCAGTGCTTCTCCAACTCTCAAGTGTACACAAAGCATCAAGGGTCCTGTGAAAACGCAGATTCTGATCCACAGGTTTGGGGTGAGGTTGAAGAATCTTTCTAACAAGTTCCCAGGTGACCCTGATACTGCTTGCTGGTCTGCCGGCTACAGTTTGAGTAGCAAAGTCCTTACACTGCAATGTTACTTCCCCACTGAAAACCTATGGTCATTTATTCATTCATTATTTATCCATAAATGCCAATTGTCAAATACTGCCAGGCACTGTGCTAGTTGCTGAGGATAAATAAAAGAGAGTCTCTGCTCTTAAATAGTTTCTATGAACCAGTTAAGGCCTGAAGGAGTTTTTCTGACTTCCACAAACCAAGGACTATGACAAGTACAAAATGAACCCCATTAAAGACAAAACCCTTTCAGAACAGCCTGTGGAGTGAGAGCATTTACAGAGGTTGTGCTGGAGGCAACAATAATGCTGAGATGAACACCTCCATTCAAGGACTCAACTGATGACTCAAGCCCTGTTCCTCAGAACCAGAACAGGTGATGGACTAAACAGGGTGTCACTGTAGCTTCAGCCAATAAAACCGCGGACTCAAAGACCCGTCTATACATCAGCTCTAGGTCTCCTCCTCAGTGCAGCAATACTCATCATCACATTTTGCTGGCACTGATGAGAGCCAGCAGTGAGAAAAGAGAGCACTCAAGATAGCAGTGATTGATGAGCGAAGCAACTAGGTGGTTCTGTACATACTGAAAATTGGAGCTGATGGGAGGGTCCTCTAAGCAAAATCCAAACCCTGAATTGAGGAGGAAACTGAAACCCAAAGCAGTTAAGGCAGCGCTCTCAACCGGGGGCAATTCTGTGCCCCCAGGGACATTTGGCAATGTCTGGAGACATTTTTGATTGTACAACTGATGGAGTGCTCCTGGTATCTAGTGAGTAGAGACCAGGGATGCTGCTAAAAATCCTGTAATGCGTGAGGCAGCCCATCACAACCAAGAATTATCTGTCCCAAAATGTCAGTACTGCTGAGGTTAAGAAACCCTGAGTTGAGGATTTTGCCAGAGGTCAAAGAACGGGTGACATCACACAGACTAGATTAGAGCACTCTGCAGTGATGGAAATGTTCTAAAATGTGCACTGTCCATTATGGTAGCCAACAGCCACACGTGGCTACTGAACATATGAGTGGTACAGCTCAGGAACTGGATTTAAAATTTTTATTTCTCTTTCATAATTTAAATGTAAATAGCCATGTGTGGTCAGTGGCTACCCTACTGGACAGGGCAGAACTACAATCCATATTTCCTCACCCCCAGACTGGCATTCTATCAGTTTCACTGCCTGCTTCTTTCTACTTTTCTGAAATCACCCACCCACCTGACTTTATCACAAAGATACGACTGGAAAAAAATGCAAATGTAAAATGACAGTGAAAAATCTTAGTAAAATGTTCCCAGTGAAACACCATGTTTTGTACATTGGGAAATAAAGCAAAATGTCAGCTCACGGTTACACATACAATAGTCCCCCATTATCTGCAGTTTCAGTTACCAGTGATCCATTGTCGGTCTCAAAATATTAAACGGAAAATTCTAGAAATAAACAATTTGTAAGTTTAAACTATGTGCCATTTGAGTGGTGAGATGAAATCTCACGCTGTCCCACCGGGACGCAAATCATCCCTTCCTCCAGCATATCCATGCTGTATATGCTACTGCCCCACTTGGTAGCTGTCTGGGTTATCAGATTGACTGTCCGGTATCCCAGGGCCTGTGCTCAAGTAATCCTTATTTTACTTAATAACCACCCTGAAGTGCAAGAGTAGTGATGCTGGCCATTCGGTTATTCTCTTACTGTGCCTAATTTATAAATTCATCACAGGTATGTAGGTATAGGAAAAAACCTAGTATATATAAAGTTGGATACTATCTAAGGTTTCTGGCACCCCCTGGGTGTCTTGGAGTATCCCCCACGGATAACCAGGTACTACTGTACATGTAATAAGACTGCAGAAACAGGTCAAATTCCTTCCACTTCCACTTGCAGAGAAGGGTGATATGACAGAGAAAATAAACAGCCCTCCCAGCTTTGAGATCTTGAGGTTCTGAACCTGGTTTCTCCATTTGGTCAACTAACTGTCCCTTTCCCTTCTTAGAAGCTGGGTAAGAAATGAGGCAGGTCGACATCACTACCAAAGTCTCATGCTTCCCACCTCCCTCCCGTTACAGAGGCTACACCGAAGACGCACCATGTGCCAGTCCCTGTGCTAAACACCACGCATACAGTATGTCGCTTCATTCTCAGGGCAGCCCTAAGCAGCACACAAATATCAGGTTACTTAATTCTCAGGGCAGCACTTTGGGACACTAGGAAGTTAAAAAACTTGGCCTAAGTCATGCAGTCAGTCAGAAGCGAAGCTGGGACTCCCAATCTCCTGCTCTGAAGCACTGCGCTAATGACCTGGAACTTGGAGTGGCGACAATGGTTGCAAAGGCATGGGGATCTGCCCTAGGGAACCAGACCCTTGCAAAGCCAGTGCTGGGTACTGGCTCTGCTACCCACGCCCCATCCTGGGTGCCGGAGACTCTTACTTCTCGATCTCCAGCGCTGCCACCTTCCGCTTTTCGTACAGCTTGTCATTGAGGGCCCGAACGATGTTAGGCGTGAGCGGCGCGAAGTCCTTCTCCGGGTTCATGGTGGCAGCTCGGGCGCTCCCGGGAGCGCCGGGATTCCTCAGCCGGTGGCTGCCGGGGCCGCGCCGGGGCTAGAGGAGTCTGTGGCTCCGCGCTGCCTCCGGCGTCGGCTCATGGACCACGCCGCCTCAGGCCGGCATGTTTCGCTCCCGCACCGCGCCCCGCCTCGCAACTAGGGTCTGCACTCCGTTCCTACACACCTGCTCCCAGCCACCCACCTGCTCACGAGACCCGCTCCCACCCGGCACCTGCGGCTCTCAAGGGGCAGCGGCCATGTTACTCGTATCACGTGACTCGCAACAGCTTCCGCCTTCCGCCTGGAAGACCCGCCCCTGGCCAACCACGCCCCCGCATGGTAAGCCGCAGGTGGGTTGGCCACGCCCCAGTTGCTCACATGCCCTTTTTTAGACCCCTGCAGTATGAGTCTTGTTTTAGTAGCGCTTGTTGGGAACTATGTCTCATGCACTCAACTGCAGGCGCACGTGGGGTCTGTAGACTTTCATAATGAAGGGGCTCTTGGAACCTGACTTGCTTAGCATAATTTATTTCATATTTACTGAAATCGACTGTTCATTCAAAACTTAGTCATCAATTTCCCATATGCCAATGTTTCGCAAATTGGAGTAACACCATCTTGATTTTCACCATATTCTAGCCACTTGTACTATTATTTTAAAAATATAATTTACAAAAATATTAAATTCCTGATTTAGTCTTGCTATGCCTCAAAATCATGGGTTTGAATAGTGATATATTTTTCTAAAACACATAAATTGCAGTTAAAACGGAACTATCTGCCTAACACCTAAAATTTCAGGTACCAATAGTGGCTGTCACCCCATCATTTGGGACTTGGGGTGTGTTTACCATGCTGATACCTCGGAGGGCTGGGTTACAGACAGCATAAACCCCGATTGTACTGAGTGCAGGTCTCCAGATGGACCCACTATAAAGCAGCCCTTCCACGTGCTTTGAAATGTCACACTAAATGGTGGAACAGAAATTAATCTATGTGACAAAAATTTTAAAAAGCATTTTATGGATGTAGAGTGGATAAAAGCGCAGTACCAGGGAGATATAGCAGATTTCCTTACCGTAAGCTTCTGCATAGGACAGGTGTTAACTGAACCAAACTTGGGTCTGTTTGCCCACTTTCAACAAAGCCAATCTACTGACACCTGGTTGTGGTGAAGAAAACCCAGCGTTTACCACAGGGTATCAAATAAGGAGTCCAGATAGCTAGTGCTCAAAAGTCCCAAATTCTCTATAATAATTTCAGGGAGAGGTTTTTAAAGACAGTTGAGGGAGTAGAGTTGAGAGGTGTGTGATCAGCTTGTGGACTTTCTTCTGACTGGTTGGTGGTGAGGTACTAGAGAGTCAACATCATCGATCTTCTGATTCCAACCTGTCTCTGGTTTATGTGCTAGTGGGCAGCATACAGTTAACTTCTTCCACCTGGAGGGGGTTTCAATATCTACAAAACAGCTCAAACAATATGGCTCAGAATATCATCTATAGCACTTGAGGAGGAACTAAAGGTCCTTGATTATGTTTAATGGCTAAGATACTATTATTTTGTCCCGCTGGACTGTTTTCCTTTCTTTCTGCATTTTCTCTTTTCTCTGATTAAATTTATTCTTTGAAACTCAGGGAATGACTAGTTTGATCTTTGTAATGATTTGGGCTCAAAGCACCTGCCCATCTTACCATCAGAATTATGGGAGATTAAGAACTCAAGTTAGAGGTTTCAGACTGCTACAGAAAATTTAAAAATTCAGGTCTTTGTTCATATACCTGGTTCAGGTGGAATTTGGAGGTCACAAAGATCCAGAATTTTAAACGTAGTGGTAACTCAAACTGCACCCAGTATTTAAAGACTACACAATGCAGTAGAACACTCACACAGTAGGAAATCACTTTATGTTTAAAGAGTCAACTTTTCATCTTTTTCTTTTTGTAGTACTCTCTCCTTTTGACAAAGTGGACTCAGAATTTCCATTACCCATTATATAACGAGGGGGTGATGTTACCACATTGTTGCCTTGGGGCAACTAACACTTTATAACTGGATAGGAAAATCGTTTGCTGAGAGATAAGGCTAAAGGAAACGGAGGCCGCTGGAGTGACCATAGCACACATCCGCAGTTACTGTCCAGGAGAAGGCCACAGCCTCAACGTGGTCCACCTAACTGGAGCGCTTTTTCAGCGGAGTCTCGCCTTTCGGCTGTAAGTCACCACAGCTCGCCCACCCAGACGCTGTCGTCTTGGCAACGCCCTTTGGTCCCACCCATCCCATCCGTTTGTCTCGCCCACCGCCCTGTACGTCTGTGGCCAGCGAGGCTTCGATTGGTCCTTCTGTCCTTCATTCTGGGAGACGCTGGGGGCCGTATTTGAGTTTTGGCGCGGAGAGCTTGTAAGGTGCCAAATGGAGCTGGGCGTCTTGCTGGAGCCAGCAAACTCCGTGGTGAGAGACCCTGAGGGAGAATGACGAAAAGGGCGGCCCGGCCCGAGGTTCAGGGCGTTGAGTCAAACAGGCTGCCTCCAGATGGGAGACTACAGCTGGGCTGCGGCTCTCCCTGAGGCAGGCCCCTCTGTTCGCCTCCTCCCAGTCTCTAGGTTCTTTCCTCGCGTCTGAGAGGCCGCGCGCCCGCCCGTCTTCTATCGGCCCTGTGGGAAGGCTCCTCTTGACGCTCCCTTCGCTCCTCTTTGAGGAGCAGTGTCTCAACTTCCTTCCCTCCCCAGCAGAAACCCTCCGACTCTGACGTGCTTACACCTCCCCCGAGCACACTTTACCCCTCCTCCCTCTTCTTCCAACCCTGACAGAAACTTTCTACCAGCCTTTGACAGTGTGGAAAAATGTCTCTTGAGCAACCTGGGGAGCGTCCCACACCTCACAAACTGAGTCCAGAACGTTCCTTATCTAGAAAGAGGGTGCTGTGTCCTCTTCTTCCCAAGTGGGACTAGTGAAGTTCCGGTGGAAATCAACAGGTGCAAGCGCTGGATAAAGCGCTATAGAAATGTCAGCTCTGGTCTCACTCAGTTGCTGACTCAGAATGATGATGGATTCCTGTCAAAAACAGGATTATTTTATTCTCGGTCGGGCCCTCTTCACACATACATTTACTATTGGCGTTATGAATACTGTCCAGACCTTAGAACAAAGCCAGTAGGTCTGTTGGAGTACAAACTGACGCTTGATCTCAATCTTCTAAAAATGGCTGTCATTTAATTTCAGTTATTTTAAGACTTGAAAGTTAGAAGGCAGTGGGGATTGAGAAGGCTGAAGCAGTTTTATTAGCATTATGGAACTAACCCGAGTCTGATCAGCTGCGCAGAGTAAGGCCAATCTACTGACACCCAGCTGTGGTGAAGGAAAGTGCAGCATTTATTGCAGGCACCAAACGGAGTCCAGGCACCTAGTGCTCAAAAGGCCCGAACCCGCTAATGGCTTTCAGGGAAAGTTTTTTAAAGACTGGGTATTGGACAGGGTGGCTGGGCATATGATTAACTCATGGACATTATTCTGATTGGTTGGTAGTGAGGTAATCAGGAGTCATCACCATCAGTAATCTGTTTTAACCAGCCTGGGGTCTACGTGCTTGTGGTCAGCGTGCAGTTCACTTCTTCCAACTGGTGGGGGTTTCAGTCACTGCAAAACAGCTCAAAGGATATGGCTCAGAATATCATCTGTAGCCCTTGAGGAGGAGCTAAAGGTCCTTGACTTTATCTAATGGCTAGGCTATTATTATTTTGTCCTGCTTGACTGTTTTCCTTTCTTTCTGCATTTTCCTCTCTTCTCTGATTAAATTTATTCTTTGGAACTCAGATAAGGCCTAGGAGGCTAAAGGTTTTTGTTTGTTTTGTTTTTTACAGACCAGAGGCAGGAGAAGGACATAGTGTGTGTGTGTGTCAGGGGGGACTCTGTCCCGGGAAGGCCGCATAGGGTCCTGCTCAGTTACATTTGTAGCACAATTTTCAAATGAGCACTGAGTTAAGAATTTTAGAGAAGTAACTGAAATGCTTTCTAAAGTTATAGGAAGGTCTTTCACAGATTAGAGTATGAGCACACAGACATATAAGAAATAAATTAATAAGATTTTATATCCTGTCTTTTTGAATTACAGTAACAAGTAGTAAAATCCTTGATTAACATTAAATGTTAAAATAATTTGTTGCCTTAATTTTTTGGATGTTTTATATTAAAATAATTTTTATTGTGAAATTCCACTAGCATGTCCTGAATATAATTTATATTGCCAAGCATTATTTTTTTCATATTAGAAATTTAGTTCACCTGAAACTTAGTTTTATGTATGATGTGAGAAATGACTTTAACTAATTTTTTTTCATTGTTCTATTGCTATTTGGAAAACCATGGCCCATGGGCCAAATCTGGCCTACCATGTTTTTGTAAACAAAATTCTATTGGAACACTAGCACATCCATTTGTTTACTTGTTGTCTGGCTCCTTTTGTACTACAGGATCAGAGTTGAGTAGTTGTGACAGACTACATGTGCTTCAAAGCTTAATATAATTACCATCTGGCCCTTAATGTAAAAAGTTCGCCAACCCCCAAAATAGGACATCCTTTCCTCACTGAATGGATAATACGTTCCTATACAGTTTCTACATATATGTTTGCCTTTGTTTTTGAGCTTCTCTAGTCTGTTTCATTTAATTTCTCTGTTTGAGAATTGTGTCCCGTCAAAACAGATGTTCAAGTCCTAACCCTTGGTATTTGTGAATGTTATCTTATTTGGAAATAAGGTTTTTGCAGTTTTTATCCAAGTTAAGGTAATGTCATAGTAGATTAGGGTGGGTCCTAATCCAGTGCCTGGTGTCTTTATAAGAGAAAGAAGAAAGGAGATTTAGATACAGAAACACAGAGAGCAGATACATACCCAGGGAAGATTCTGGCCATGTGATGGTGGAAGCAAACATTGGAATTATTCAGCTGCAAACCAAAGAACACAAATGATTGCTGGCAACCACTAGAAACTAAAAAGAGGGAAAGAGGGCTCCTTCTCTAGACTTCAGAGGGAACATGACCCTGCTGCTACCTTAATTTCAGACTTCTGGTCTCCAGAATTGTGAGAGAATAAATTTCTGTTGCCTTAAACCTCCCAGTCTGTATGCTGTCCTAATACATTCTACATCTTCATTACTTTTACTAGGCACTACTTAGTTCCCTACAGCAATTAGCAATAAAATACTTAAAATGAAAATGACTGCTAGGCTTGCTGGTGGGACATAAATTAAAAGAGAAACCAAAACACTGTAGGTAAGATTACTTGTTCCTGC